GTGTGTGTGGGGGGGGGGGTTAACACCCTCCTCGTCCCTCCCCCACAGTACATACCGCCATGACAGACAGAAACTTCAACAGGTAGGAGAAGGAATGAGACTCCCATTGTTTACCTGTAATAACGGTGGTTCCTTGAGATACGAGTATAATTCCTTCCACGATCGTGCTTGTAGGTCAAAACATTCATCTCGAAAATCAATCATCCCCCCCGCCCCCCCGAAACAAATGGAAATATCATTAATCATTTCTAGCCATGCCAAAAGCTCCAAAGATTGTTGGAATGTGCGTGTTCATAAAGAAAAAGAACACTCTAATATTGTACTTTCAAGGGCATACAGTCCTGACAATTAAATGAAAGGTAAATACATGTTTAGGATTGTGACTTTTTGGCTTCAAGTCATCATTCGTTGCTCTTTGCAGAAGATGAACGCATGCCCGCGAGTATTGTATCATCTGTCGACATGTGTTGCGCCACCAATTGTGTTGAAACGTCTGTTGCTTAAAGGGTTTTAACACCACCACATCGTTGCTATGCGCTAGCACTCGTGATGACATTTCCCATTATGTGTTAGCATTAGCCTTAATGTATCAGACGCGACGGCTAAGCTATGTGGTTTAAATACACAATGTGTCATTCTCCTCGTTGGATGTTTAGTTTGAGGGGCAAACTCAACCGCAGACAAGACACATCTTGCTGCTTCTTGTGTTTTGGAAGAATTGCTCCATATTTGCCGTCACAAAGTGCTGCTTGTTGTGAAATGGACTGAGTAAACTGCCCACAAACAACACTCGCAGGTCAAAGTGAGAAAGAAAAGCAAACGAATGAACAAACAAAGAAACCAAATCAACTGAACAACCTGCCCGTGGCAAAATGTGGCCGCCGGAGCAACCAAAACACCTCAATGCTGCCACATGTTAAGATGGTGGTTGTTAGCATGACAGGCAGGGACTCTTGAACACTTACTGGAAGGGGTCGTGAACCAACTATACACATTTCTTTTTTTCTATTTTTAAATGAATACAGTATGCTCCAAAAAAATGGTTGTGCCCGAGAGAGTGGGGGAGGGGGAAGTGGTCAGCCCCCCTCAACCATCACCAATATTATGCCAGAAACCTCATAGCACAGCGACTCTTAAACAGCTATGGGAGGGAGGAGCGAAATCACTAATTATCTTTTTTTTTTTTTTTTTTTTTAATGAGGACAACTACCGAGTTTTTTTCCCCCTTTAAAGTGTTGCAATACTGTATCCAAAATTTGATAACTCGGGGTCGAACCCCTTGACCCCACCCACCCATGCTATGCCTGAAAACCTCTACAGGGGTGTGGTCATGATGGTCAGGTGAGCCCATACTAAATCTGGACGATAATTTTTTTTTTTAAAGAGGACCACGAGTGTATTATTAGCTTTTTTTCCCTTTTTTATTTTTGCGTTGAAACTTCTCAAATGTGGCGCCCCAGGTTATCTGCAAGCCCACCATCAACTACACTACTGAGGGAGTAAACCCCGCCTACTCCAGGAGCAAAACGAATGTAAATTGATTATTTTTAGGTTTTAAAAAGAACAACTGACCACGTATTAAGAATATGAGGGGACTGATTTTTCATTCGAGGGTGTGTGTGTGTGTGTGTGTGTGTGTGTATGGTTTGGGGGTGGGGGTGTCTTTTGGTTGCTGTTTGTTTTGGTTCATTGTGAAGGCAATCCAAACACGAACTCGTCTTGGAATGAATGGGATGAAATACGAGCAAAGTCGGACACTCTTACATACCGTTTCCTCTTATTATTCTTATTTTTTGTAAACCATTCGTGTTTGGCATCACTGCCGTGTGTTAAGATAGTCTGGACCTGCAGCGGTGTGCCCAAGGGGGGAAAGAGGAAAGCGCCAACAAGTGCAATCAAGTGTGGAGAAGGGGGACCACCCCCCCCAACCCCACCCCCCACCCCGGGCACCACTTCAAAGCAACGCCGCCAAATTAAGGTGGGCCGGAGCGGACCACCAGAACCTCAAAAGCAAGTTCGCACTTGTTGGAAGGACGGTCGGAATCCATCCATCAAGGTTTCCTTCGCCAAAGCACCCCGCAAAAGTGGGAGTTGACCTCGCGTGGAAAGCACACAGAAAAGTTGGCTTCGAACTAAAAACAGGCAGCTCGGAGGAGTCAAAAGCGTCTTACCGCGCGGCGGCAAAATTAATCAATAAAAAAAAAAAAAAGAAAAAGAAAAGAGAAAACTTACGTTGCAATACGCAGAGTAGCAAGGTGCACACAAGCCACGCGTGTCCGAACTTTATCCCGTCCATGATGACAGCGTTTTCTTTTCTTTCTTTCTTTGTTGTTTTTTTTGGAAGGGGGATGAAAAAACTTTCTGCGCTTTTGGTTGTGTTGGTTCAAGAAAGCAATCAAGCAGGCAAGCAAGTAGCTGTTGTGAGGCTTGGGTCGTCTTTTTGGAACTGGAAAGCTCGCTCTCTCTCTCTCTCTCTCTCTCTCTCTCTCTCTCTCTCTCTCTCTCTCTCGTACACGCACGCAGTAATCTGAAGCGGGTGGTACTCCTCTCGATATATCTGCACAAAAGGTACCCCCCAGCCTCAAATACCACCCGCCTCTTTCTCTCTCTCTCTCTTTCCTATCTCTCTTTAAACTCACTCCTCCACCTCACTCACTGGCACAGAGAAGGGGGAAAAACCCCGATCTGCTTGACTGAGCTTTCCAGAAACGGAAGTAAATAAGGGGGATTTTTATTTTTTGTATCAAAAATCAAGTGATTAGGAAGCGTCGGGGGGAAGTAGGCACAACTCGGTTTTTGCTTTTTCTTTGGCACTTGAGTAAAGTGCAGCAGGAAAAGGAACCCAATGCGACACAGTGAAACGACTGTCCTGGCTACTCAAAGAATTGACTGCACAAGTGTTTTTTATTTATTTATTTTTTTTGCAAAAGAACATTGCACGTACAAAGTTTCACAAATGGAGGCAAAAAAAATTGCAACTTTTTTACTCATACAATCACACTGGTCAACAGCAAATTTTAGCCAGAGATGGCTTTGTGTGTCCCCAAAAAATGTCTACACTGATTTCAAAAATGTCTTTCTTTTTTTCTAGCACATCAGCTTTTTTTTTTTTTTACTATTTTCATAATTTGTTTCTAAATGTGACTTGAAAAAGCTTGCCTAATACGCATTCTACCACATGTTGTAATTTATAGCTATGACGTTTCAGGAAATAAATTCCGCCTGTTGCCTAACCCTAACCTAACCCAATTGTCATAATAATAATAAAGATAATAATAATAATAATAATTAGAATTTTCTGGGACTGTCATACAAACTAATGAAATGGTATTTAATAGCCATTCGCAGCAGTGTCGATGGTGCTCACCGAGCAACTATTGAAAGTGTTCATGTCTGGGCCGTTCCACCAAATGAGTGCCGTTGGCTTGTAACGCTCTCAAAACAAACTTAAATTCAACTCTAAATCTGACAACACGCGTATTCAAACGACTCGCAACATTTTCGGGGCTCAACTAAGGCAACTTCAATCTTGAATGCCATTGCTTTGATGCACGAGTACACACAATCTTGTCATTTGAGCGGCAGGACTGAAAGTATCAAGAGTCCCTTTTCGTTTGTCATTCACCAAAAAGAAACTCAAAAATGGTTAAAAGGATTGAAGATAAACCAAATTTACGCTCTAAGTGACTTGGGATGGGCGCGTACAATACGCGCAGAAGGTGGCTGGTTTGATTGTCCTTTTCTTTGACACAGGATATTTCAATCCATATTGCAGATGTACAAAACAGATATTCTCAAATTAAAGTTTTTTTTTTTTGCCCTCCAAAAAAAAAAGTTCAATAGAGGCTAGTCGAGTCTGATGAATGTGGTCTTTGTTTCGCAGATTTTATTTTGAAAGCCATCAATAGATTTTCACTGAATATAACACATTTTAAAAGTTATATGAGGCAATATTGAACATCGGAGGGATACGTGGCAGAAACAAAGGATGAAAGTAGAAATTTAGGATTTTGGATTGTGGGGGTGTTTTATGTTGTGCTCTGTGCGTTCGTTTCTATGTGAAGCACATTGAGTGACCATGTGTGTGAAATCCGCGACAAGTCTCGCCTTACCCTGAAGTGACGTGAAGATAAGGGGAATTAAATATGTAAAAAAAAAAAAAAAATTTCTCAGGGATTTACACGGTAAAATCTGATTTTAGGAAGCAAGGACAAGCAGCAAATGATATTTTGGATGATCAAGGCAGTTCAAATTAATCTTTTATATTCTTAGTTATTTATTAAGTATGCAAATCAGATCAATGTGGAGGGCACTTTGCTTAATTTAAAAAAAAAAGTATGTCGCAGTTAATTTTATCGTGCATTTATACAATTTATTTCTTGGGTGACGCGAATATCACTGATTCGGCGGAACGCCCCACATCAGGAATTTGGTGGGAGAATCTTGCGAATTGGAAACAAAGCATCCCTCGAGCATCAGTCCCTACATATGAAATTTGAGCGTGAACATGTCGCGGGGGCAGGGAGGGGCGGGGTTGTCACGATCGATGGAGATTTCGTTTCGGAGCCGGAAACAATGTTCAGCATCCTCCAGCTGCCTTGTCGGCCGCGTGCGACCAAGTTTCTGCCGTGCGTCGGAGACCCTCAGTCAACATACAAACGTGCTTTTCATTTTCAAAGCAAGTGGGAGCCATTTGCTGGGAGTGGGCTAAGCTGTCTGTTCCTCGCAGACATACCATTCATTCCGAGACACGAAATCCCCTCACAATCTGTTTGGGTATTTACAGGCTAGGCTGCAGGCATACTGTCGTTAAAGTGGCTTTTTTGACAAAAGCGGTCCAAAACGTGACTTGCGCAAATTAGGTAAAATTGAGACCAACTGGAGCAATTGGGGTGATTTCGCTCTAAGACTCCCCTCGAGAGTTGTCGAGTGTTTCTCAAGATCAGGATGAACTGATTGGGGCTCCTTCTCGTGTGTGCGACTTGGCGACTGTAGTGCAGTCATGGCGACACAAAAACGAAGACGATTTTCACAACGACTTTAAGTGACCTGGTAAGCGACCGTAATATTCAGCGTTTTGAGCAGAGGATAAAGAATATATTCCTGAGTGTCGCTAAATTCTTTGTCAACTGATTGGATTCAAATATCCGTTGCTTCAAGCACGGACTGCTATGGCATTTTCTTTAGCCCTGCACAAATAAACTGGAGGGTAACAGAGCATATACGCCCCAGTTGGAAAAAATACTTCAGCACCCCCGCTAGCACATTGGTGATTAGTTGCCTAAAATCTGTACTACCACGAAATGGAAAAAAGGTTCGCGACCACTGGCTTGACGGAATTTCATTTCCGCACGTCGATGCTAGCTTAGTTAGCCCATTTAATATTTTGTATTGTAAGTTAGCATAAAGCTAGCAGACGTCTGTGAGTTACGTGGAATGATTTTTTTTAAAAACATCAGCTGGGAATGGCAATAAACTGTCCTGACTTGTTCACTCTCTCCCACTTGTTGTTAAGTTAGCTACGGGAGCTTGTCTCTCAAAATCACTTGTTCCAGCTTTAAATTCATTTGCAGATGATTTTTTTCTTTTTGTGGTGTGCTGTGAGCTTTTTCCTCAAAGCAGGAGTAGATTAGATGGCGGAAACCAAAACATGGGGCGCGTCTTGCAGGAGCAGTTGACACACATTCCGAGTGTGGTTGTCTCCCAAAACAGCTGGCTAATATTTTTTCAGGCCCGTGACAAGAAGTGAGGCGATACTTGCAACCTGCTCCACTGCAACGTGTGGAGCTTTGATAGCAACCCACAGCTGTTCTATACATAGCCCGCCTGTCAAGAACACCGGCAGCAGTTGATTCACGCTACCGGGGGCCACCGGTTTAGCCTTTCGCCTTCCTCGAATTTCTGAGATTTTTGTTTCGGAGGAGGAGAACGGAGGAGGGTTTCCCACTCATCACTGAGTCTCGACCTGCTAACAGTCACGGGGTCTGTCTTTTTCAGACGGAAGATCTAACAAGTCCTGACGTAGTTTGGTGTAACCTTCGCATTTTCTTACATAAGCCCGGCGTCATGCCGCAAAGTCTCGTCTTAGATGCTGATGTGGTCGAGCAAGGGCATTCTTACGTAAGGACTGCAGTCATCCAAAGTGTGATTGACTGGATTGGTTCATTACCTAATGGAGCTGCAGGAGAGCGTAGTCAAGGGGAGGAGGAGGAGGATGGAAGGAGGATGAAGAACAGAGGTGACCGGTAATGAGGAAAGCAGAGAAAAGGGGAGAATATGGGATCAGAGCCATACGTGCCCATAGTCTCTTTCACACAGTTTCGAGAAAATTGGTGGACAGTGGTCCCTCTACTGATGAATGTCTCTTCATATGAAATTTCCAAGTTACGAAACGCCTCAACAGGAAAATATTGCCTCTCGTTACAAAAGAAATTTCAAGATACGAAAGGTAAAAATACCGTATGGGCTCCTACTCGCAGCTCCGAGTTTCCGAAGCGCAACATACTTATAGCTGCTCTGACATTTGCACATATCAGTGTTGTTTTTTTTTACGCACACAAAAAAGGGAAAAAACAGCTTTGATGAGTTGTGTGAAAGGGGCTTGTCAGGACAGGAGTGTCCGAGCAAACGCCCCGTTTCTACTTTGAAAGTTCAAGGAACAGTGTGGACTTTCAAGAAGCGACCCTATGCGCGCTAATGTCTAGATCTGTTCTTCCAAAATGACATTCTCGGATTGAGTTTCAACAAACGATGACCCAAAGCTTGCCTTTAGGATCCCGCCTTCGCTTGGGAAGCCCGGCTGAGCTCAGCTTAAATATCCGCTCTCACCTGGGAATGCCTGCAGCTTAGGTCAGAAATTTGATCCCCTGTGCCGCAGGTTCTCCACTGAGATGGATGCGCTTGGAATACCTTGACAGGTTGAGTGCACTAACCAATCCCATGAACCATCCAGATGTTTCAACTCTTGAACATTGAGTGGCGATCAACCGGCAAATCAGCTGCCAGGTACAATTTGTCTCATTTAGCCAGAGCCCAAAGTCCAAAGAACAGCGGGAACATGGGCCCAATTCCCACATGGTCTCAGCCAGACACGTTTTCCAACACTTCTGCAAAACCAGATCATCAAAGTGGGCCCAGTCAGTCGCATCCACCTCCACAAAACACGTTAACTGATGGCTTCGACTTGCATTCGAGGCTGAGCCGCCTCCCCCCTGATCAGAATTCCTGATGAACATATGGGAGACCCCAGTAATTGGCGCTCACAATCTGGTCGGCCCCCAGTTTTTGAAATGAGGACTGTGAACCTCCATCTGTCAGGAGGCCTTCTTCAACTACCTTTTCAAAAGTCGATAATCCAGTTCACGCTGACTGTGAAAGCAGGCATGCTCCCCATTTTATTTCCATGTGTGAATAAATGGCAACGAATGGGAAATGAGGGGCCATAATTCACACCTGAAATTTCCTGCCTTCAAAGGTCGGATCAAGCCCAAACCGAATGCCGACTGGATGTATGGGTACAGCATAGACAGGGTCGACTGGCGAAAAGCTTTTGTCCTCAATGATCATGTGAGGAATG